AAAGAAAAGAAAAAAAAAAAAAAGAAAAATCCCGGAGGATCCCGCGCAAACAACTCTCCGCATCGCCTCCTCCCCTTCAACCCTCTTTTCTCCTTCGTTTTCTTCTTCCCTTCTGCCCGGTCTCTCCCTCTTCGATCCTCTTCCTTCATTCTACCCCTCGACTCGAGCTTCCATCCTTCTCTCTCAGCTGTCTGTGTGTGGTACGGCCTTACGCCGCGAAGTCGGAACTCGGCCGAACACGTCAGGATCGTTACGCCCGGGCGTCGTCGAATTATCGTTACGCCCGCGAATCTGGAGCGAAGGTGTCCACCATACCGTGGATCGATAGAAGAGACAGAAGAGAGACACTTTCTCGTCCTTCACGGCTGCCAGACACCCGGTTCAGAGCTTGGCTCGTCGTTAGAGTTCATCGTTAGTTTGCTCCTTCGTCGAAGAAAGAGAGACACCACCTCTATGGTCTCCATGGTGTGGCGGCTTGCTTTTTGCTTTCTTTCGTCTGGCACTTGTTGCAACTTCTCCCTTTGGCATTTACCGTATGCTCCACTGGCTACAAAGAGCACGACGAACGACGCCCGGTCGATGAACAGACAGGGTGAATCGTTCGAGGTGGGTCTAGTACGTTTCATCGGTGATTGGATTTTTATTACCGTGCAGTATTCTTACCGGTGCTATCCGCGAAAGATTTACAGTCACAGAGGTCAATATAGATTGATTATCGTCCGTGAGCGTTACAGGGGCGTACAAGTTCACTCGCGGCTCTTCTCTTCTATTTACTATTTTATATTTTATTATCACAATGAATCTTCTATGCAAATTATTGTTATAACTTTATGCAGCATATGTACCACATCTTTTTCTTATTTTTTTTTTTTTTTTTTTTTTTTTTGCAAAGAATGATCCTGCTCGCTTGTAAATACACGTTACTGCGACACACAGCCTGTACATTCTGGTAATCCGGCTTAAAAAAAATCAATTTTTTTCTTTTTTTTTACATTTTCTCGAAATATATGCTTTCGAAAATGTCTGTGTAAAAGAAATTTGTTTGAATTTGTAAAATTAGCAAAGTTATAGATGTTTAAAGGAAACGGTGTACTGCTCGCAATATAAGTATGAATATTTTTGTACAACGGGTAACAGAAACTTCAAATGTGTTTTTCTCAAAAAATATTTTATTTTATATTATTATTATTTTATAGTATTATAATATTTAATATATTATTATATTTTACTTTTTGTACTGCTCGATTGATTGTAAGTATGAATATCTTTGTACAACAGGTAACAGAAACTTCAAATGTGTTTTTCTCAAAAAATATTTTATTTTATAATATTATTATTTATTTTTATATTATTATTTTATAATATTATAATTAATATTTAATATATTATTAATTATAATACTATAAAATATTATTATTGTTTTATAATATTTTACTTTTTGTACTGCTCGATTGATTGTAAGTATGAATATTTTTGTACAACGGGTAACAGAAACTTCAAATGTGTTTTTCTCAAAAAATATTTTATTTTATAATATTATTATTTATTTTTATATTATTATTATTTTATAATATTTTATAATATTATAATTAATATTTAATATATTATTAATTATAATACTATAAAATATTATTATTGTTTTATAATATTTTACTTTTTGTACTGCTCGATTGATTGTAAGTATGAATATTTTTGTACAACGGGTAACAGAAACTTCAAATGTGTTTTTCTCAAAAAATATTTTATTTTATAATATTATTATTTATATTGTTATTTATTTTTACATTATTATTATTTTATAATATTCTATTTTTTTGTACTGCCCAATGTAAGTATGAATTTTTTGTACAACGGGTAACAAGAACTTCAAATGTCTTTTTCTCAAATCCATATTTTTTAAACTGGCTGACGGGATATCTCACGTTTTAGTTGGCCGATCGGCTTGAAATTTGGAGGAGATCCTCACCGGACCTTTATCGCATGAACCACGGATTTCAAAATCTGATGTCCTTTTCTATTTTTTTTTACCACCCGAAAGACGAAAAGCACAAGGAAAATCGATGTTTCAACTTCAAAATGCTGCCATGTTTTTAATTTTCGAAATTTCGCTGTTTCCGTGGTTCACGCGACAGCCATATTTATACTAATTAAGATGCATTTTTGGTTTTTTAGTTTCAAATAACCAGATGGACCAGAATCACGTTAGCTGTTCGAACTCGTTTTTAAAAACATGCTCTACCTACCTAAAGGCTATATAATTTCCACGACTTTCATTAATTTCATTCAAAAAAAAAAAAAAAAATTGTAAATAGTCTTCAAGTACGAATAAATCTGTGTGCGAACATTGCACACCAAAATGTGTCGTGGTTTCCTTAGAAAAAAGTCTCGAAAAAGTCGATCTTTTCAAGCCGGATTACCTTGAAAGCAAAACGAACCATGCATTTTCATAGCAGAGATTAATTCAAGAATATAATCGAAACAAATGTTCATACTCGATTTCGTTATCTTTTCAACTCGACGTTTCATTTCCTACTCGGCTGTACCACCTGTCCTGAGACATCCTGTAGCTTGATCGAAACCCAGATTAAACCCTTGTACACTTGATTGAGATTCAGGGTGGCACCACAAGGAATCTCGATGTCTGAAATATCGGAGGGCGAGCTTCGAGGGCGTGATATAATCCATGCGAAAGCGATAATCGTCTTACAACTTTTGTTGTCCACTGTACGCGGGGGCAAATCACGAAAACACGTGCCCACGTAATACTTCTCTCCTACAATGCAATTCTCTATTCACCCGCACGCGACACGCTCCTCTTCCTCTTTCATTTCGCACCGCGAAATATTCCACGTCCGTGTGTGTGTGTCTCTCTCTCTCTCTCTCTCTTTCGCCGGTGTTTCCTTTTTTCTTCTCCTTTTTCGCTTCAATTTTTTTTTCTCCCCCCTTCTTCACTCCGCCGTCCTTTGAAATCGCACGCGCGCAACGCCACGGCATTCGCATTCATCTGAATCCCGCGGATCTTTTTGTTCGAAATAATCCGCGCTCGAACAGCAAACACGTGCGGCAAACAACAATTCGATTGAAAACCGAGCGCGAATCGCATGGCTAACTGGCTATTTCCGGTAAGAATGAATGATGGGGCAAAGGAAAAGGAAGAAAGAAGAGAAAAAAAATATATATATATATATATATATATATATATATATATATATATATATATATATATATATATATATATATATGGAGAAAAGGAAAAGGGAAAAACGACGAGTCAAAGGAATAGCGTTTCGTTTTCCTCTTTCGTTACACCAGCTCGTCATTCCATTACACATTGCACAGCCGCGTTATATCACCGCGCTGGCAGTTATAAATAACACTGATCGATTATTTGTTACGTTTATGCGAGGAAAAAAGAAAAGAAAAGTGATAAGAGCTCACTTGGTAGATAGTGTTTTAATAGTCTGATACGAAATTAGGAATTATCATTTCGCTTCGATGATGTTTTCAGAAGCTTGTTTTCTTTTCGATTATTTTTCGTTATTTTTTTTTTAATTGAGAAAATGACGAAAGAATCGTTGTCTATTGATGGAGATTAAATAAAATAATATTGTGATAAAATAAATTAATTATGCTAACCTACAAAATATTAAAGGATGACGTATTCACCTCCTGATATTTAGCTTGTTTTCTTTTTGATTATTTTTCATTAGATTGTCATTTTTTTTTTTTTTTTTTTAATTGAAGAAATGACGAAAGAATTTCGTTGATGGAGATTAAATAAAATATTGTGATAAAATAAATAAATTATGCTAATCGACAAAATATTAAAGGATGACGTATTTACCTCCTGATTATCCCTAGTTATTTTCCCTTTGTTTATAATTACGTGGAGAAAAGTATTTTTGTAAGTATTGTAATTATGTACACAAATTTTTATAATTTTTATAAAAATGTTCATCTTCCTTGTGTGTTACAATTTCCGTGCAAGAGACAGAGCTAAGTCACACGTTATTTCGACAATAATTATTATATATGATTTTTATAAGAATCTCGAAAATAAAGATGAAACTACATAAAAACAAAATTTATAACATTTCTCAACGTATCAACCGTTGTACAGAATTTTCGAAATTCTGTCGCACACTTTGACGTAAGTAAAATAAATATTTTATATTTTAGTTACATGTTTTGTTTGACAACGGACAACTTTTATTTTACTTACGTCAAAGCGTGCGAGAGAATTTCGAAAATTATAAAATATTTCGCAATGAGGGTAATATCTTTCTTAATCCAATTTTTAAATAAAATATCTTAAATATGAGGATAATATCAATCTTAATCGAATATGTAAATAAAATATTTCGCAATGAGGATAATATCTTTCTTAATCCAATCTTTACAGTCAAACAATAGATACAAAAAATAGAAAACGAACATTCTCCTAGACACGCTGTTTCTATGTTAATAAGTTCAGATAAAAGAAAAGAAATTTCATGACGGTGGAATTTCTAATGAGAAACACGCCTAACGAAAAACCTCCTAATATATCTCAGTGATACTAGCATTGTGTGTTAAATACAAATATTACAAATTGTGAAGATTCTTGAAAATTAAAAAGAAAAAAAGGACCTAAGTTTCTCTACGTGTTTGAAACATTCAAAAGGACTTGACATGTTAAAAAAAAAAGGAAAAAAAAAAAGTACTGCAGTACGTACTGGTGTACGTCAGTTGATACTGTAAAGTATGGCGGCGTGGCTGGCGTTTATGCTCATTTGATCGATAATTCCAAACCCTTGGCAAGAGCCACGTTTCGCTGCAATTGCGATTGGATCGGGGCTTTTTATTAATGCATCGCGGCGAATCGGTCGTGCAAAGGAAAGTTCCGAGGGGTGCCTCTCAATGTTACTAGCATTAAAGAAAAGAAAATCTCCATTTAATTACAAAAAAGAAAAAAAAAAAAAGAAGAAGAAGAAGAAGAAGATATTCCTTGAATTGCTAAACAAGTTTTCTTTCAGCGGATTACTGAAGACAGAAGCTCCATCTTCTGTTAGATAACATTCAATCATGCAATGGTGGACGGAAGAAAATTTACAATAGGAACACTATGAATGTTAATAATTTGCTAAATACTGTAGTGATCTATTCTTACAGTGACAGTGATTTATTTCGAAGTATAGTTTACACTTATTCATTGCTCCTGATAAACGTAATCTCATTTTCTGAAAATGTATTACACGATTCTTTAAACTTTCTTTCGTTCGTGTCACTGTATGTAGGAATTGCTATACTTTTTATAATAAATTTATTTTCATTTAAATAACAAAAATAAAGAAATAAAGTATGACTTAATAATAAATAAAAGTGATCTTCAGTTCTGTAAATATGTATTCTTCAGTTATGTAAATATATATAAAAAAATAAAATATGATTTAATAATAAATAAAAGTGATCTTCAGTTATGTAAATATATATTCGATTATACGTATTTTGTTTAATTCAATTAGTCAATTATTTTCTTTCAAGCGATGAAAGCCAATTTCGTGTTGTTATGTAACTTATTTGAATAAAAATCCGCCTATGCGGCTTAGCTTTATCGGCTGTGGAAAAAGAAAATGAGAAGAGACATAAAAATACGTGTAATACGTGTGAATGTTGCATTACGTTCGTATAAGTATCATGCGTCGTACATAAAAATGTAAATATACTTAGTCGTAAAAATTAAATATATCATTATTATAGAGTCCAACAAATTTTCAAAAAACCATTCGTCACACGAGCCTCGCAGCAGGTATTTGTTGCTAAGACGGCAGACTTTGCCTTGAGGATATGAACATATGTAGAGTCATCGTGGTTTTAAACGCGGCGAGGTCGAAGTTTGAGGAGATAGCGAGAAGAGGTTTTAGAGTGAACGATGAACAGGCTATCCGGGGAATTTAGGGGGAGGAAACTTTCTGCGGGAAAGAACGTTTCATGGTACAGAGCGAGGATAAAGAAAAGGGCAGGCTGGATGATATAAAGTCACAGATTCTTGCGTCTAGCTCTTGTGACCTACTATGTGTTAAAAATCTCACGACGTTGGATCATAAAGCAAAAGAAACTTATCAAGAGACGTTGCAAATCTGACGATCCGATCGAAATACATACTTACATTTATTTCAATTAATTCTTAAAATTCTCGCAACACTCGCTCGATATAACCTACTGATCGATTAATGTCCACAATCTCGCAACGCTCAAGCGCGTCCAACTTTTACAAATTGTTCGAATTCGTTTGACTCGGTCGGTCTTCGATCGAGTCGCTTGGATTCGAGGATTCGAGGATTCGAGGATTTGGGAGCAACCTTCGTTTTACAAGAAATAGAAAAGAAGAACAATAGAGGCACGAATAAGGTAAAAGATTTACCTGCGTGTAGCCAAGGTGTGCGTTAACTTGCCGGCTGACGTAAACTATTTTCCCGCTGGTCGTGACAACAATGAAGAAACCCCCGCTTTCGATCAAGTTCTGTTACGGTTAACAAAAACGGATTTTAACGTGTTCAACGTAACGTGTAACGATAACAGGACTGGATCGATTTACGAGTACTCACGTCGACGATGTACTGTTCCAGATCCAGATCGCCAAGCTCTCGGGGTAGAAAGTCGACCGCGCTACGTCCGAGCGCTGAAAAACGTGATCAATCGGTCAGACGATGAATAATTAACGAGGGGGAGGGAACAGGGAGGCTCGAATTTCGTCGTTAACCTTCGAATGAAACTGCGAGAAACGCTGAGAGAGAGAAAAAAAAACGAACTTATTCGCTTGAATTACGTACGACCTGAAGGACTGTTCTTCCCTCTGCTCGCAGCGGATTAGACAGCGAAATGATTGAGATAAATTCTCGGTGTGAAAAATCTCGGGTTGTGTCTCTTTACATTTTTTGAAAAACTACTAATCCAGGAAATCCAGTGGTTTTAATCACAAGTTTAAAAATTGAATTTACAATTATATGTTTATAAATTAAATTTTATTAATTACAAGCATATAAATTGAATTCATAATTATAAGTTTGCAAATTGTAAATTTAAAATTTATTAATGATAGAATAATTTAATATTTAATAAATTAATATTTAATAAATTAATAATTAATAACTTAATATTTAATAAATTAATAATTAACAATTTAATATTTAATAAATTAATAATTTAATATTTAATAAATTAATAATTAATAATTTAATATTTAATAAATTAATAATTAATAATTTAATATTTAATAAATTAATAATTTAATATTTAATAATTTAATAATATGTAATATAATTTAATAATTTAATAATATGTAATATAATTTAATAATTTAATAATATATAATATAATTTAATAATTTAATAATATATAATATAATTTAATAATTTAATAATATATAATATAATTTAATAATTTTAATAATTTAATAATATATAATATAATTTAATAATTTAATAATTTAATAATATATAATATAATTTAATAAATAATTTAAGAATTATTAATTTAGGAAATTAGTCAAATCAGCTTCAATTCTGCAAAACGAAGAACAGGTATTTTTATAACAGGCGTTCATATTATCCCCGTCTTTCATTCTCACGAAGTTAAAGTGAAACTGTTACCTCTCGTCTTGACACACCTTGACGATTTTTTTTATACTTGTTACTTTTCGTTTTACTCTTTACACGTTCTCGTTTCTCTATTGGACGTTCCTCGTTAACAATCAACATAAATAAACATACGAGAAACTCACGTTTTTATCGTACTCTCGCTACACTGAATACCAGAATACGATTGACTTACTGTAATGCGTTCTGAGGAAGGCTGCTGTCAATCTCAGGATGGATATCTTGTCCATTTTCCTCGGACTTTCGGCGATAATGGGCACAAGCGCCGCCATCGCCGAAATGTTCGTGTTGAGATTGTCGCGACGTTGCTTTTCCGCCATGTTCCGCGATGCCCTCGGATTGCTGCAACAAAAGCGAGAAACAACAGCTTCGTTTCAGTCTCTCTGCCAATCTGTCAGTCAAAACCGCGTTTTGTCGCCGAGAAACGCACCGAAATATACAGAAAACGAGATATACTTGATTTACGACATAATTTATTTTCGTTGCCCGATCACGAAGAGTCTAAATGCGACTTCCGTTCCGTCGTTCTCGCTCAGGAAGGCTCGCGATTTCGGAGCAACGCTCGGCTCGCTCGCTTTCATATCGTGTTTCATCCCGTGCTTTTCCCCATGATGCGAATGCAGTGTCTTTCGACGAGTCTAAATTTCCATCGCGTGAGTCAACTCGGCAGCGTCGTGTAAACCACGAAAATAATTCGAAGAAGCGAAGCTGCGACACGCCAGGGAATGAATTTATATTTTTCGTTCGTGCACGATCGCTGCACGATCGGGGAGAGATCGAGACTGTTTGAATGAAACTTCGACTGAATCTAGTTTCTCAAAATCTGTCTCCATAAATAGTTCACTACTGCCCGAAAGTAACAAAATAAATAAAATAAATAATGTAGGAATTTCCAATAATAAAATAAATAATGTAGGAATTTCCAATAATGAAATAAATAATGTAGGAATTTTCAATAATAAAATAAATACTGTAGGAATTTTCAATAATAAAATAAATAATGTAGGAATTTTCAATAATAAAATAAATAATGTAGGAATTTTCAATAATAAAATAAATAATGTAGGAATTTCCAATAATAAAATAAATAATGTAGGAATTTTCAATAATAAAATAAATAATGTAGGAATTTCCAATAATAACAATACGAGAAATATAAAAATTCGAGAGTGAAAAAAGAATCGACGCACTTGCAGTTGCTTTTGTTATTTGTGTTCATAAGATACGTAAGATGTTCAAAATGAAAAGTATGCATTATTAGTTGGGAATTATTATTTTATGAAATTATTTTATATTTGGAAATCTGAATGAAGCCTGAGCACGAATTTATCTTCGCTAATAAATATTAAAACAAGTACTTTCCTTTCAGTTTCAATCGGGCTTAGGCATTTGAATAAAATATTTAAAATCTTATTGACTTCTTTTTTAAATTCATTTCAACGTTTGGTTGTTGAATAAAACAATTTTTTATTTCATCTTATGTCTGTTTCTACAAATGGTTTCTTAAATTATTTCTAATCCACTGTGTAAACTTCATCCTTTACTGGAGCTATTTGTTATTTTACTTCAATGAGTTCAATGATTTGTAAATGATTCACTTGATTTTAAATTTATTCTTCAAATGAGAATAATAAATTGGTTGGAGAGATTTGTTATTTAAAATGGTTATTTTTTGTGTTCATTTCAAATGAAGTTTACCCAATCCTGCTTTCAATTATTGCAATTCTCGTGCCTTTAAATTTTCCACAAATGCATAAAAATGATTATAAATATCTGATTATAATTTTTAACAGGGAAAATTGTGTTTTTAATAGGGAAGTTTGTATTTAATATGTTCATAAATTAAAATATGCAAAAATGTAGAAGATGCTAAGACTGAAGCGTACGATTATAATTTTTAATAAGCGAACAAATCTGTATTTAAATTTTATTTCCATACTTGTTGTGTGTTGCAAAATGCAAAAGTACATGAAGCATTTAAAGTGCAGCGTACATTATAATTTTTAATAGGCAGAACAGAACCTTTTAATAGGCCTGTGCGTTTAAACCTCACGTGTTCGCCAGTGTTCGTAAAATACAGCAGTATGCAAAAAAACACCGAAGAGAGTCGAAGCGATGCACACATTATAATTTTTAATGAACGGCAACAAATTTGTATTTAAATTTCGCTCCATTACTTGCCTATAAAGCACACATATTTTTGTAACGTGTAAACTTAAAAAACAAACTATAGATTATAATTTTTAATAGGCAAGAAATAGTCTATGCACTTTGCTTGTCTGCGACACGCCAATATGCAAAAACACGCGAGTTATTTGAAATAAAATATAACACTACAAGCAAACTATAAAAATGTGACGTTTATAAAGTTTCATATTCAGTGCAATTTCTTAATGAGCAAAACAAATCTGTATTATTTAAATTCCAAACGTCCTCGGTCGTGCATGGAAAAATATGAATTTGCATGAAAGTCCGTAGTCTGTTAGATTCATTTCTCTTCTTTTTCACGTTAGAAGAATTTAATTATTCACGCCGAACTAGATAACATACGTTAAATATTACATTCTACGAGATTTTTTCAATTTTTCCTCTTTCTTTTTTTTTTTTTTTTTTCTTTACTTTGCCGTATTATAATATTACTTCAAATGGTTCGATCGCTTCCTCCAAGTCCATTTTTTTTTTTTTTTTTTTTTAACATCGTTTTCTCTCCTCTTTTTCTACGCGAATGCATTTAAATGCAATTACGTTGTTTAAAAAGCGAAACGAACGCGCGATAGATAGTTTATATTAATTAAAGTTCCATTTGAAAACTACTGGCTCACCTTTGATATTTAAATAAGAGGTTTATTTATTCGTAAAAATGACGGACATGCAAATAATTGACGCACACGTGTCACGAAACACGTTGCAACGCATAAAATACTTGACGCAAGAATGTACGTGGATACGGCCATTCGAACAATATTGCAATTCAAATTTTCAATTAGCGAACATGGATATTCAAGCAGCCTTGTACAGAGGGCCATAGACGTTGTTTCGAATAATATTCGAGAACGTCGTTTGCAAACACGTTGTACAGTGGCAACTAGATCGCGGATTTTCATGCAAATTCTCTTTCTCTATTTTTTTTTATTAAAAATTTAATTGAAAAATAAATTAGAAATACGATTGAAGATCAACTTAAGGGAAAAGGGGATCGTTATTACTAGACCGTGGATTTTTATATATTCATATTTCAAAATGCGAGATCGCACGTTACTTTATGCACGTGATACGCCATTCTACGTGAAAAAAAAAAAATGTAAAATAAATGCAAATTATTTCCAGCGAGAGACTGCGGCGAACACTGATTGGCTTCTGAGCTGCCCGTACATAGGCATAACAGATCTGTCAATTTATAGTATCAATTTAAAAACAAAATAATTGCACTGCTACATTCCGTAGAACTTCTGCGTATTTACTACGATGCACTTGTAATTTTAGAAATGTGAAATCACGCTGCTTCGTGATACGAAAGACACACTCCGCTCTCTATAATATTTCACACACGTAAACCAACCATTTTTCTGCCAAGATTCTTGTCCCATTGTATCCGCGAAAGTAATAAAGAATTTTCATCGTCAAAAAATCGACAGTCTAGTTGAACTTTCGACCTGAATATATCCCAGACTAGTCTGAAAATTTATAGAACGGCCGTGCGAGAAGCTTCCTCTTCCGACAGCCTTCCTTCCTCACTTCCACTCTCTCGAATTCAAGTCAACGACTTGAATAATACTCGTCGACGATAAAAGGAGGCATTGAAAAAAAACCATACGCTGCGTGTCACATTTACGAACGAGAATGGTCTAGCTCGTAACGAGCCGTTTTCACTTTGGCACGGACACGAAGGGAAACAGTTGTCACGTGTCAGACCCGCGTACGTACATGCGAACCCATTCGAACTGCGTACAACTCGACCTCTTTCCTTCGTCTGTTCCCAGTGATTCCTCCGCTTTTTGCATCCGTTCCTGTGTCACTGTCGAGCCTTGGAACGTTTTTTCGTTTCTTCTCTTTTTTTTTGCGCGCAGAAATGTGTTAACAGAAGAGAACTCGAAGGTTACGCGAAACGATTCAAAAGGCGTTTCCATCCTTTCGAGCTTCGACCGCGTTAGGGGGTTGTGTTCACACGTTGAACGCAAAATAAGGAAAATTCAAAATTTCTTTTTCATTTTACTGTATGTAATATATATATATATATATATATATAGGTGTTATGTAACTGGTGATACAAGCAGGAAGCTGATGATTCTACATGAAAAACTGAATAAAAAATATAGAATAAAATTTTTTCATACGAAGCTTTGTTTCCGAGAAAAATGGCTATATTTATATTAATTTATAATAAAATAATATATATATATATGCATATATATTACTTTATATATGAATATTAATATATATATATATATTAATTTAGCAATTAGTAATTTTTAGGATACTAAGTATACGAAGGTAGAAAGACATGCCAGTTATTTAATTGTGGTCGTTTTATCGATACAAAGTATATCTCCATGGAATTTTATCTAAAGCAAATTTTTTTAAATTTTTTGTGTTAAATTGTATAGGTGAAGCTTGTACTTGTCGAAGTCGATTTTTTAATAAAAGGCCGCTTGAAGATGTAGGTAATTTTCAACACCATTTGCTAATAAAAAAAAAAAAAAAAAAAAGAAAAAAAAAAAAAAAAAAAAAAAGGAAAACAGAAGAAATGCGTAAATCAAAATTTCGCACACTTAAGAATATTACCATGAATTCTTATCCAAATTGATTCGACAATCTTCCACGTATTTCTGGTACCGATTTTGGAAACTTCATACCGACAGAAACACATCTTAAGGTTTCAATCTAAGTTAATCATTTTCCAGAGCATTCTAAAAGGATCGCAACAACAGAATATACAATTTCTGGAAAATTTTTCCGACTTCATGAAAGGTAAATAATAACCCCTTAATATATTACCTTTCCTTGAACAAATAAAAAAAAATAAAATAAAATAAAATAAAATAAAAAGAGAATAAACTGTTCTGTACATTAATCGAGCAACGTTATTTCGCTACGCACGTAATTAAAAAATTAAAAAAATTTCATTCCAGTAAAATTTATTACTTTTAACTAACTGTTGTCCTGCGTCACACATTGTTTTTAAGCTTAATGAAAATTCACTCCGACTGCATAAAAATTAATTACGACCGCGGAGAGGTAACTACGATCGAATAACGGGGATTTCAAAAGGCACAAGCTAAGAAATAATTTTAGAAAGAATTTAAAGAAAGATACACTTTTTATCGTCAGATTTTTCGTATATTTGACGTTAGACACAGACACGCAGTTTCGTTTGTGCGATGATAAATCTCGGTAATTACGTTAGATGCGCGACCGAACAGAGAAGCGATAAAATATTTAATTGCAGGAAACACTGAACGGGATTAAACGTTAATTGTACGCCTCCGAACAGATAACTTGTTGTTATACACCGTCGCAGGGCTTAGGAAATTTACGACCAGAATCTCGTACATTTCGAGTCTCTTATACATCTTATTCTTCTTATCGCGATTTTATAGAAAAATGCGCTCGTACGACTTTTCGTATACTGAGCTCTTCTCTCTCGTACGTATAAAGCTTGCTACGAATACTACGTGCACATTAATACGCGTAATAAGCGTAAGTCCAGAAAGATATTTATTATTCCCGGACATTTTAATCCTTTAAAGTCCAGTCCGGTAATACGTATTACGTAGCATAATCTTTTTAATATATATGTATAGGTAGAAGCTCTTTCTGGGTAAAAAAAAGAAAAAGAACAAATGGTATTTCATACCGAATTTATAAATGTCCGTCAAACCATGAAATGAAAGAAGCTGCAGTTCAATTTAAAAAAGTAGCACGACAAAAGGAACAGAGATTGTGTCTGTTGCGAGGAAATTTTTTTTTTTTTTAACATTCGACGACCAGTTCATTAAATTACCCTGTTCAGCTAATTGGTGTGTCTGAACTTTTTGATATAAATATTACAGAAAATGAAATGAAATAATTATACTTGAACTGAAATTTTAATTAAAATATTTGAACTGTACGTGTCGTTAATTACGTATGAAATAAGACATTAAAACATTCTATCAAATAATATTGAAATATCAAATTATTGGTGTTATTTAATTGTAAAAATATTTTAATAAACATTGGAATTGAAATGTTAAATTATGTTACTATGTAATACAATTTTTAATATAATTAAAAAATGAATTATATTAATTTTATTCAAGTTATATAATTACTATATAATTACTGTAATTAATACAATAATATTATATAATATTATATAACATAACTTTAACCTCAGTATTAAAATATTTCATATATAACATATGAAATATATAACAAACGCTCTAGCTCCAGTAGATTCGTGCTTGGAAATTTGCAACAGTGTTGTTGCAAATTTCACGATTCGACTGGTGAATCTCGATCGATGCTGTTATTAATTTTATCACGGCATTTTCATCGTGATAAAACTAACATCAATAACAACGTTCATTAATTACGTTCGATTACGTAAAATCCAAAGACCAAACGACTGTTTCTGTCAACGAAAAAGACCTAACGACCTGTTGTGCATCTATGTGAATATTAACGCGGCGATCGAAGTCAGGAAATGATGAAGCGAAACCATAAATCTACGCTCTTTGTAGTGTAGTATCCTTATAATGGAGCTGCTGTTGTGTGCGTCTGTATAATCAAGCATTTATACTACGACTATGATCTACGTCTAAGTTAATAATAGAATCATTGCCACGGTATAGTAACAACTTTAAGTGCGTCTCAGAGTGGACTAACTGAAAGATCATCATCGTTCAGCCAATAATTAAAAACACTTCAACCTCGCGATATTAATTTAAAGAAAAAAAAAAAAAAAAAAGAAGCATTTCAACTTCGCGATATGAACGAGAAATACACAACCGATTGGCCAATCATATCTCGTTCAAAAATTATCAACTTTCTTTTTCTTCTTCTTCTTACATGTATACTTCTTTGAATGTACTTTGCTTTGCAATGTAATATATATTGGTATATTGGTATAATATATATTGGTATATTGGTATAATTCGGAATCTCTGAGGAGAAGCATAATAATATTTAAAGATATATGTACATGGAAAATAATTTATGATGTTATAATGTTGAAAATAAATTTCGACACAGATTTCATTTAATTGTTTGATTATCGTTATTGGAAAATATATAGTTTAATAGTAAATAAATAATTTTGGTACAAGAATGGTGGGAAGAATAAATATATCGATGTAACCTCGATCTTTGTTGCAAGAAAGATGAGAAAAATATTCTTATAAAAGTATATTTTGTAAAGTTTGTTCAACAATTCAAACGTATATCTTTTCCAACTTCACGAGATTAACCAGAAATACTCGACCGATTAACCAACTATATTTTTCCAAAAATTATCAACAAAGTTCATATGTATATTTTTAATTACGATTAAAATTATTTTTAATTAGGATTGTGCACATATTTTTTACTTTGAAGTCGGAGGAGAAGTTAATGGTCATTATAAATAAATAGTCTTAGTGATTATAAATAGACATAATGAGGAGAAGTATAAAATTTAAAAAGAAAAATACTAAAATCAAGTCAAATGATACTATTGAAAAAAAAAAAAAAAAATCGTACAATTAATAAGTGTCTTTCATTTGTGAAACTTTGATATATAGGGTGGGTTTCTTCTCGGCTATTTTTTTTTTTTTTTGTTAATAAAACATCAAAATATAAGAAACAACTAATTTTGTTAATTTTACATTAAATTTAAATTAAATTAAGAGTTAAAATTGAATTTTTAAATTAAATTTAAAATTTCGGATTTATTTTTGCAGGAAGTAATTTTTGGGGCCATCCTATATAATCAAGCCTAGCATTTTCGATAAAAGGCCGAGGATAAAATATTATTGCAGATACATTTTTCTTTATAGAACAATATTGTACTACTTCAAACGACCAATTTCGACTATCAAATTTGAATCTCGACAAAGTGCCCATTGTCGCGTGTTGTCTTTATATAAACGAACTGCACAATCAATTTTTTTTTCTCAATTACGTCTATGACAATAAACAATCGACACCTTGGCCTGATGTTTGGTATCTTTGTTACGTATCTGGCTGAGTGCCTGACTTGACAAATATAGTACTCGACCATCGTGTACCATTATCGTGTATATTGCACGTTATTGGCATTCCTACAATACAAGCTCGAACCTACGAAACGAAATCACTGCAAATTTCACACATATTGAAATACTTCGAAATATTCGGTCGACTGAAGCGGTATAAAATGTTTAGTCCGTCATATTATATTTTATCGATCTTGCTTTCATTACAACAATTGAATATATACACACATACACGAATAATATAATAATATAATAATAATATTATAATATAATGTGCATATAATATTGCAATCATTATATGTATTATATACAATGTACGTATTGTACAACAACTGCTTTTATTACAACAATTGTATATATATTATTATGTAAGATAAAAATTTTAACGAAAACAAGATATGCAACGATTAATAAATATTGAAACCGTTGTATTCAAACATTCACCTGTATACGTATAAGAGAACCATAAGTGTTACCATTTTTTCGTGTGTATGAAATATTTTCTCCCTATTATTCGCGAGCACAGTGACTCGCATTAACATTAGAACTATCAGTGATTAAAGTATAAAATTTGCAGCAGGGAAACTAAGGTGCAAGGAACGGGGAAAAAAATTTGTAATATGATAAAGAACACGAGTTTCCATCAATTTTACCAAGAGTCACTCAAGTCTCTGAATATACACTGTTGCAAATTTATAAAATTTTTTTCTCAAGGGAAATTGGTCATTTTGACCATTTTGGTATCAGTGTTCATATTTGGACACCAGATATTGGAAACCAATCCAATTTATATATCCAATTTATATGAATAATAATAATTATTATTTATATA